GACCTTTAATGGCCCCCCCAGTCTTAGTCCGTAGGGTTCAATATTGAGTTGGCCCCGCCCTTTCCACGCACATGAACTTTAATGGCCCCCCAGTCTTAGTCCGTAGGGTTCAATATTGAGTTGGCCCCGCCCTTTCCACACACATGACCTTTAATGGCCCCCCCAGTCTTAGTCCGTAGGGTTCAATATTGAGTTGGCCCCGCCCTTTCCACGCACATGAACTTTAATGGCCCCCCAGTCTTAGTCCGTAGGGTTCAATATTGAGTTGGCCCCGCCCTTTGCAGCTATAACAGCTTCAACTCTTCTGGGAAGGCCGTCCACAAGGTTTAGGAGGGTGTCTATGGGAAGGTTGGACCATTCTTCCAGAAGCACATTTGTCAGGTCAGGCACTGATGTCGGGGGAGGAGGCCTGGCTCGCAGTCTCCGCTCTAATTCATCCCAAAGGTGTTCTATGGGGTTGAGGTCAGGACTCTGTGCAGGACAGTCAAGTTCCTCCACCCCAAACTGGCTCCTCCATGTCTTTATGGACCTTGCTTTGTGCAGTGGGGGGCAGTCATGTTGTAACAGGAAGGGGCCATCCCCAAACTCTTCCCACAAAGTTGGGAGCATGAAATTGTCCAAAATGTCACCTTAAGAGTTCCCTTCACTGGAACTAGGGGGCCAAGCCCAACCCCTGAAAGACACCCCCACACCATAATCCCCCCCCCTCCACCAAACTTTACACTTGGCACAATGCAGTCAGGCAAGTACTGTCCTCTTGGTAACCGCCAAACCCAGACACATCCATTGGATTACCAGACAGAGAAGCGTGATTGGTCCCTCCAGAGAACATGTCTCCCCTGCTCTAGAGTCCAGTAGCGGCGTGCTTTACACCACGGCATCCAATGCTTTGCATTGCACTTGGTGATGGAAGGCTTGGATGCAGCTGCTCGGCCATGGAAACCCATTCCATGAAGCTCTCTACGCACTGTTGGGCTCATCTGAAGGCCACACCAAGTTTGGAGGTCTTTAGCTATTGACTCTGCAGACAGTTGGCGACTTCTGCACACTGTGCGCTTCAGCATGCGCTGACCCCGCCCTGTCATGTGACGTGGCCTACCACTTGGTGGCTGAGTTACTGTTGTTCCCAGTTGCTTCCACTTTGTTATAATCCCACTAACAGCTGAGCGTGGAATATTTAGTAGCCAGGAAATGTCACGGATGGACTTATTGCCCAGGTGGCCACCTATCACGGGACCACGCTTGGAGTCACTGAGCTCCTGAGAGCGACCCATTCTTTCACCAATGTTTGTAGAAGCAGTCTGCATGCCTAGGGGCTTGATTGTATACACCTGTGTCCATGGAGGGGATTGGAACACCTGAATCACATGCTTGGGAGGGGCGGGGCCAATACTTTTGGCAATACAGTGAATGCGTGAATACAAATTTATGGTGTTAACCTTTACAACCACATTAAAGTTAAACTATGGGACAGGAAGTGAAGGGAAGTCTCCCCAATTGGACACCTGACAGGGCATATAATCAGGGATGCACCGATGCCCTTCTTTGATTGGCGAGTACCAATACTTTTGGTCAAGTACTCGCCAATACCGTTTACCGATACTTTGCAGTGCGATTTGTGTCAATACAAAATGTATGGATGCAAATTGCATCGCAAAGAGTAGCTTTCGATTTGAGCAGGAATGCAGTTTCCCCATGGCTCCTGTGTGAACCCGGGACTGTCATAGCCTGAGCTCACTCCGGACCTCCCTGCACCGATCTCATGTGGTCACAGAAGGAAAAAACGATTCACAGGTCTGGGAATTTGAAATCCCCGTGGCTTTCTCCTCTCCTTGCAGGGATGACAGTATGAGCTAGACGGCTACCGATTGGTCAGCACCATGACAGTCAAAGCGGTCTAGCCCATACTGTCATCCCTGCAAGAAGAGAAAGCTGCGGGGGAAAAAACTGCTTTTCCTTCTGTGACAGGATGGGATCAATGCTTTGCCGTGCCCAGGTTCACAGAGGAGCATTGTGGAAACCGCATGCGATGTGCACAGGAATCACATTCCTTTTCAAATCGCAAGCTATTGTATGGATGCAAATCACACCACAAAGTATTGGTTTCGAGTATCAGAAGCATTTTCTCAAGTAGGAGCATTCGTGGAAATACTTGGCACCGATACGGATATTGGTATTGGTGCATCCCTAGATATAGCCACCCCTATTTCTATCCAAAATGAAAAAAGTTGTATTGTTAGTTTTACTTAACGACTTCCCGTCCGGCCCATGTATATAAACGGCCGGACGGGAGCAGTGCAGGAGCGGGCGGCTGGTCATAAACGGCGCCCGCCATTTTAACCTGTGCGCTCTCCCTGGGAGCGCTCGGCACCACGATACGGTACCTGCTGTGTCCACTGGACACAGTGGAACACCGATCGTCGGACGGGACCTCTGTGCGAGGTCCCGATCATGTGATCACTGACTGGCCAATCAGTGATCACATGAATAGTAGTAAGCAAGATGGCACTTCCTGACATTATTGCTTCATACTAGTGAAATCTGTGAATGATCACAGAGATCACATGGTACAGGGATATTTACTACAGCCTTGTACCATGACAAGCTATGACCAATCACAGCTCTCATAGTATTTCTCAATGGCTGCAGAAATGCAGCCAGAGAGAAAGAGAAAATGATTGCTTTCACAGCTATGGTGACACTGTACTGCTAGGGTGACAGTATGTAAAAAAAATATAAAATAAAAATAAAAAAAAAAATTAGAAAAATTATAATTTTTGGTTATAAACTAATTTGGGTTATTTTTTTTTTTTCTTTTTACTAAAAAGACAACTGAATACATTTTGGCCAACATTTATGAAGAAAGATTTGCAAAATATTATAAGAAAAACACTTTTCTAAATTTTTGGACTTACATTTATATAGCAAAAAAAAAAAAATCCCAGCAGTGAATAAATACCACCAAAATAAAGTTTTATCTGTCTCAAAAAAAATGCTAAAAAATTAATGGGTTGCATGACCGCGCAATTATGAAAGTGTGAAGTGGTTAAAAGTATCCTAACAATAACTATTATTAAATCTTTATCTCATCCCTCACATTCTCCTACTTATCTCACATCTTTTTAATCTGCTCGTCACATGATCCAGCACTCCTGCGTCAGTGACTGCTGCAGGGGAGAGGAGGGAGCACCAACAATGATTGGGCCATGGGAGCCTATGGGTGACATCACCATTCCCAGAATTCACATCCATTGTTGAGCGCTCTCTTACGCAGGCGAGTCAGAGCTGCAGGATCACATAACTGGATTAAAAAAAATGGACGATTAATTCTAGCGGATGGTGACTGGTTCCTCTGGACACTCACTGGCTTCTGATGCCGCAAACTACCAGCGCAGCAGGTTTGCTGACATTTGCAGCTCTCTAGAAATACATCCGTCTGCTTATTACACCTTCCCTGGAGTCTTGGACCCTCATTAGAAATCCATCCCTCGTCTGTGCAACAAATGTCACCAATTAGTCCTGGAACTACCAGTAAGTTGAACGTGTTCCAGAATTGCCTTAGAATTCAGGGACAGAATTTACTCCGACACAGAAGAAGTCTTCTTTACCTCCACTTTCTCATCACTTGCTATGGCATTTCTTAAAAACTACTTTCACCTTAACCCCCTCGCCCTCCGGAGGATTTCCCCGCCTTCCTGACCAGGCCATTTTTTTGCAATACAGCGCTGCGTTACTTTAACTGTCAATTGCGCGGTCATGCGATGCTGCACCCAAATGAAATCTACATTTCCCCCCCAAATGGAGCTTTTTTTTTTTTTTTCGGTGGTATTTGATCACCCGTTTTTTATTTTTTGCGCTATTAACAAAAAAGACAATTTTGAGGGAAAAAAAAAAAAAAAAAAACACCTATTTTTGACTATTAAACATATCCAGTAAAAAAAAAAAATTAGTCATAAATTTAGGCCAAAATGTATTCTGCTCCATCTTTGCTTAAAAAAATAAAAAATCCCAATACGTGTAAATTAATTGGTTTACGTGAAAGTTAGTGTCTACAAATGGCAGTATAGATACTGGAATTTTTATATATATAAATAATTTTTTTTTTTTAATATATTAGTAATGGCAGCGATCAGCGATTTATAGCAGGACTGCAGCAGGCATTCTGACATTGGGTGGGAATCAACTGCCACTGACATTCCAATGACACCAATACAGTGATCAGTGCTAATAAAAAAAGCACTGACACTGTACTAATGGCACTGGGCAGGATGGGGTTAACATCTGGGGCCATCAAAGGGTTAACTGTGTGCCATCGTACTAGGGCAGAGGGGAAGCAGTTAAACTTTGAAATGTCACACCTCAAAGTTCAGTTGTCAGCTGCATGTTGCACGGCGTGGATTTCCTCGCACTTACTTTTTTCAGCGCACACCACAGCAACATAATTGTGTTAACTGGGCAAATGCCTTATGTGGCCAGACTGCAATGGCATTAGTTGCCCAACACAGTCCCACCACTTATGTTGTGAATGGGCCCTTAAAGAATTTCAATCAGAAGTTCTTAGGGCAGCTACTTTACCCACAACGAAAGGGAGCCCGCCAACATTCTGGGCCTGCAGCAGAGGCAAGGAGAACGACCAGCTGCTGTAGGATCAAGGAGTAGGAATTCATCCCACTAGAGCACGGGTGTCAAACTGGCGGCCGTCCAACTGTTGCCAAACTACAAGTCCCATCATGCCTCTGCCTTTGGGAGTTGTGCTTGTAACTGTCAATCTTGCAATGCCTCATGGGACTTGTAGTTTGGTAACAGCTGGAGGGCCGCAGTTTGACACCTGTGCCGTAGAATAAACAAACATGAATTTACAGCGGTGCTGTACATGGTTAAAACAAAAAAGAAAACTCTATCCTACACCGTGCAGAAGAGAAGACACTGACTCACAGATGTGTTCCAATCTTTAATTGGGGCCATACAAAAACAAAAAAATGAACATCCAGATCCAACATTTAATCTTCGTCTTCCTCCTCCTCTTCATCCTGGTTGATCTGGAAGTATCTTAATTCATAACTTTCCTTACTGTTTGCAACCACACGGAGCCAGTCACGGAGGCTGTTTTTCTTCAGGTATTTCTTAGTCAGATATTTCAAGTACCTAAAAATAAAAATAATAAATTCATATTTACAAACTGCGTGCACGCTGCACCAATTCCTACATACACCTTCCTATAAAGGTCTGCTGTATGGAACTTGCCATGAGATAAGATTTCTTTTACGAAATTAACCTGCTGCAGAAACAAGGATTGATAGTTCCATTGATCGGGCAAAGGGTTACTGTAACAGAATCGACCCAGACAGTACTTCCGTTAGAATACCGCTTCCCTTTCTGAACACCGACCCACAGACACAGGTGACCATACAAGACTAGACGACACCAGTCTTGAAGTAAACCAGGAGGTAGACTAGTTTATTTTAACACAGATACAAGATATATACACTCAGGACAATCCCCCCCCTCCCTGTATAATGACACAGGGTGGGGCAATCTACATTTAGTAACAAGAAACATACCAACAGACAGTCCCATCAGGAGGGAGGGCTGCTGGAGACAACCCCCACCAAGCCAATACACAAACACATACATCCCATAATAGTTTGCTTCCAAGCAAGACACACAATAGAACAATGGGATGCAGCCACATGGCACTAAACAATCCACAACCCCCCCACCCCAATATTAGGACAGATCACTCTGTACCCCTAACAGGCACAGGGTGACATAACAGGGATATGGGGAGCTGAGACAGGGATCTCCCCAACTCTCTAAAGTGAGCTGTGTTCCATGGGCCCCCCACCCAAAGTGACTCCCATCACAGTTACACCACCCATCCTGGATATCTCTGCGTAACAACTGGGACTACAGGCAGGACGGTGTCACCATTGGAGGCCCCAAGAGACCAATGGGTTGCTTAGCCTACCCAATTCCTTTAATAAAGCATACTGCCAGCACGCCCTCCTGCTCTCTCCAGCACATGCCACCCACTCATTACCCCGACACATGTACCCAGTTACAATATGCCTGACAACAGCTTTCTGGCACCTCCACCAAACAGCTCATTTTTGTTCAAGTAACACCATATTGTACTCCTTAAAAACAACCGCACCAACTTTTTCCAGAGCAGCCTGGATTTTCCTTGTGGTTACCTATGGGTTTCCCTTTGTATCCCGAACAATTCTTCTGTCAGTTGTGGCTGCAATCTATTTTGGTCTGCCTGACCTTGGCTTGGTATCAAGAGATCCCTGAACTTTCCACTTCTTAATAGGTGATTTAACAGTACTGATTGGCATATTCAAGGTTTTAGACATTTTTTTATGTCCTTTTCCATCTTTATAAAGTTCCATTACCTTGTTACGCAGGACTTTTGACAGTTCTTTTCTGACCCCCATGGCTCAGTATCTAGCCTAGTCAGATGTGGGACATTAAGCTCTAATTGCCATTGTAACCCGTGTGTGTCCCCCCTTGTGTGTCTGTACCAAGGCCGAACATTCCAGGGGAGGGAAACTTTTGATCTGGGCCATTTGGGTGATTTCGGTTAGTATTTATTTATTTCAGGTACTTATATAGCGCCATCAATGTGTTCAGCGCTTTACATATATATTGTACATTCACATCAGGCCCCGCCCCCGAGGAGCATACAATCTAAGGTCCCTAACTCACATCATACATACACATACTAGGGACAATTTAGACAGGAGCCAATTAGCCTACCAGCATGTCTTTGGAATGTGGGAGGAAACCGGAGTACCCGGAAGAAACCCACGCAGGCACAGGGAGAACATGCAAACTGCAGGAAGGCGGTGCCGTTGCTGGGATTCAAACCAATGACCCGAGTACTGCCAAGCGGAAGTGCTAACCATTTACCCATTATGATCATTATGATTTAAAAAGGAGCCAAACAACTCTGTGATAATAAATGGCTTCAGATGATCATTATCCTTCAATAAAAGAGCATTTTTTTGGCAGATCAGTCATTTTCAATATCCGTGCCAAAATTTCACAATTTCTGCCAGGGGATGCAAACTTTTGAGCACAACTGTATGCATTTGCTTTCAAAAGAACATGGTTAGCTGTTATCTATAGATTTAAGAACCTCAATCAGAACGACATATGGAAGAAAAAAAGGTACAACCCCTGGCTTAAAGACATACAATATGTTGCTGCAAGTTCGTTCAGGTGTACTATAAGGAAATATTTAGGGTCTGTTCAATAGTCTGATGACCGCTGTTCCTTTCCTGCCCTAGAAGAACACTAGGGCACACAGAACACAGTTTTCTGTTCACAATGCAACACAGTCTGCAGGTGCGGTGAGCGCCAATAACATGCAGATATGCTGCATATGGCAGTACTCGGGTCGTTGGTTCGAATCCCAACCACGGTACCACCTGGTACTCCGGTTTCCTCCCACCCTCCAAAGACATGCTGGGAGGTTAATTGGATCCTGCCTAAATTGTCCCTAGTATATGTATGAATGTGAGTTAGGGACCTTAGATTGTACGCCCCTTGAGGGTTAGGGACTGATGGGAATGTACAATATATGTATGTAAATTGACGGCACTATATAAGTAGCTGTAATAAATTTTACCACAGTGCACTGGATGACAAAGCATGTCACTGCAAAGCAGTGCAACGCACCACTGTGCAGGGACATGAGTGAAGTTGTCACTTTGTGCACTTCAAATAAAGTTGAAACAAAAAAAAAAATAATAGGGAAGTTTGGAGAACTGCAGCCGGAACAGACAGCTGCCCACACACTATACAGGCGGTGTGAATGGGTTCTTGCTGTGCATCAGATCTGTTTTGAATACCCAACCCATAGGAAGCCCCAGTGGAGAGAGACTGACCATCTCCATCCCCGGCATGGACTCACCTCTTAGAAAATGGCACCTCTGAAGTCACAGTGATTTTACTCTTGCTTCTCTCAATAGTGACTACTCCACCACCCAGGTTTCCAACTTTTCCATTCACCTTGATGCGGTCGTGCAAGAACTGTTCCTGTAACAAGGATAGCCTTTAGTACATTTTACAATAATCATTGTGCTGAAATTACAGCATGCTGGAAAGTTTAGAAGCCCCTCTGCCCAGAAATCAGGGGATGTGCCCACATTCAGTAACTGTGGCATGCTTCTGCTGGGCTGCTTAGTAGTAACGTGAGGCTATGGTGTTCAGTGAGACTCTGAATAGGAATTGCTATCAGCGTAGCCTAGAAGCACTGGGTGGGGTGTCAGCCGGGCAACTACAGGCATGCTACCTACCCGGCCTGGCTTCCTGTAGCTCTAATTAGAAGCCCAGGGACACAACTGACCACGCCAGCGCAATCAGTGTCCTTGTGTAGCGTGGTCAGAATGCTCCAACATAAGGGACCTGCTTCCTGATCCCCAGGTATTTGCTGCTCAATATGAAAATGAAGAAACATGCTGAAGTTTAGAACTGAAAATTAACACAATAATAAATTACTACAAATAAGGCGTACACACTCTAATCTTCCCCAACGCTGTCCCCTATGCTTGCATACATTGCAAACTACGTGCCGCAGACCCACCCCCGTGCCGCAGACCCACCCCCGTGCTAAATATTTGCATTTCTTTCATAATCTTGGAAAATAAAATGGATAAATGAACTAAAAACCTGACCAAAAGCTACTATATGGCCCCATTAAACAAAAAAAATCAACATGCCAACTAGCTAGCCATTACCCTCAGTTCACACCCAGGCGTTTTCCATAGTGTTTTGCAAAAACGCACTACAGCCCGTGTAACATGATTTCCTATGGGACACATTCACATTGCCGCGTTTTCACCTGGTGCGGTTTTTTGGAAAGAGTTAGGGACTTTTTAGAATACCATCCCGACCACCGGGTACCAGCTCGCCCGGAGCAGCCACGTGCTCGTCAGCTCCGGCGCCCCCGCGCCCGATCCGCTGCCATCCGGGCCCCTGAGCCTGCTGCCGATGTCCCCACCAACACCCTGAAGGGGACACAGACACTCCGTCCCTCCAGCGGAGCTCCGGCGGTCCGAAGCGGCTTGAGGCCTACCACGGCACCCGAAGCCGCGGTGTTTCCTGCCGGCCGTGGCTGGAATCGCAGCGGGACGCCTCCGCTCCTCCGGGGAAGCTACCACCACCAGCACCAACGGTCCTCCTAACATAGGAGGGATCCACCTCCACCCCGACGCTCCAGGACATCAGGTACTCCACCAGGGGCACCCACTACCCATCAGGGAGCCCAACCACCATCCCACCGCCAGCCACCAGGGATCCCACCACCCACCAGAAACCCTAACCACCAGGGACCCCTAACCACTATCCCTCCAGGGATCGCTACTAACCCACCAGGGATAGCACGGCCACCATCCCACCAGGGATCCCCTGCCCTCCACCCCACCTGGGACTACCAGCCACCTCCCACTGCGTTTCGGACACTGCTTCGCCATCCCTGACCAGCACCCCCTCACCCACCCTGACCCTTCCTGCACCCCGCTCACCCCAACATGCCGCCCGCGCTCCTCCTCCTTGTCCTCCTCTCCTCCATCCCTAAAACCGCCTTCCTCTACCCACCCACCCCCGCTAAGCAGCTCTATATCGCCCCCCTCACTTCTCCCCTCTCCCCACTACGGCACCCACCACCTCCTCCTGCTACTCCACTTCCCCGCTGACCCACTTGCCACCACTTTCAGACCCAAGCGCTCCTACACCTCCCGTTCCCACGCCACCTTCCTCACCCTCCTCCTTCTCATATCAGCTGGGGACATCTCCCCAAACCCTGGCCCCTCACCACCTCACACCCCCCCTAGAGCCCCCCCTGCTCACGCCAGCCGACGCGACCCCCCCCTCAACCTCATACATGTACCCCTCCTCCCCATATCTATCCCCCCTCTCTCGGTTGCACTCCTGAATGCTCGTTCGGTTTGCAATAAGCTTACCGCCATCCATGACCTCTTCATCTCTCGCTCCCTCAACCTCCTAGCAATCACCGAAACTTGGGTACAGGCCACCGACTCCACCTCCCCTGCGGCACTCACTCATGGAGGTCTCATCTGGACCCATTCACCAAGACTGAGCGATCGCAGAGGTGGTGGTGTCGGCTTGCTCCTGTCACCGCTTAGCACCTTCCAGGTCCTCCCTAACCCACCCTCTCTTTCCTTCCCCTCCTTTGAGGCGCACTGCATCCGACTCTTCTCACCCACCCCCCTAAGGATCGCAGTGATCTACAGGCCTCCCGGACCCATAGCCCGCTTCCTGGATGACTTCGCCGCCTGGCTTCCCTTCTTCCTCTCCTCTGAGCTCCCCACCATCATCCTCGGGGACTTCAACATCCCCATCAACGACAACACCCCGGCTACTTCCCAATTCCTCCACCTAACCTCCTCTTTCGCGCTCACACAGCACACTCAATCCTCCACCCACCTCGGAGGGAACACCCTGGACCTCGTCTTTTCCCACCTCTGTACCCTCAACCAGTTCGCGAACACCCCCTTCCCTCTCTCCGACCACCACCTCATCACCTTCTCCATCTCCCCTTCCCCAACTCCCCCCCCTCAAAAACGCCAAACCATCACCAGCCGCAACCTCCGCAACCTGAACCCGGCCCCCCTCCACTCTGCCGCCGACTGCCTACACGACAGCATCCTCTCACTGTCATGTCCTGACATAGCCACCACCTTGTACAATGACTCACTGTCAGCTGCCCTAGACTCTCTGGCACCCCTTACCACACGCATCATCAAACCCAGACCGCTTCAACCCTGGCAGACCGACAGCACTAAACGCCTCAAACGTCGCAGTCGCGCACTGGAGAGACTGTGGCGCAAAACCAGGTCCCCTCATACTTTCTCCCTCTACAAATCTGCATTTCTTATCTACACCTCCTCCCTCCACGCCGCCAAGCAGGCCTACTTTGTTAACCTAATAAACACCCTCTCCTCCTGCCCCCGCCGACTCTTCTCCACCTTCAACTCCCTGCTCTCCCCCCCCCCCCCTCCTCCACTCAGTACCTCTCTCACCGCCCACGAAATTGCCACCCATTTCCACAACAAGATTGACGCTATCCGTAAGGACATCGTCAACTTGCAATCTACCTCCCCACCTAGCCTCCTCGCCCCCGTCACCCCTTCATCTCCCCCCTCCTCTGCCCTCACAACCGCACTGCCCCCCTCCTCTCCCAATGCCCCGCCCACCATAACCCCCCCCCGCACTGCACTCCCTCAGCCCTGTCACTACTGAGGAAGTCGCCAAAGTCCTCTCAAAAGCCCGCCTCACTACCTGCCCCCTGGACCCTATCCCCTCTCAACTCCTCCGGTCACCCCCCTCTTCCCTCATCCGCTCCCTCACCCACATCTTCAATCTCTCCCTCTCTACTGGCGTATTCCCCTCCCCCCTAAAGCACGCGCATATCACCCCCATCCTCAAAAAGCCCTCCCTGGATCCCGCGGACCCCAACAACCTCAGACCCATCTCCCTGCTGCCACTCACCTCCAAGCTCCTTGAACGCTTAGTCTACGATCGCCTAAGCTCCCACCTTACTGACAATAACCTCCTTGACCCTCTACAGTCCGGCTTCCGTCCCCTACACTCCACTGAAACCGCCCTCCTCAAAATCACTAACGACCTACTCAACGCCAAAGCCAAGGGCGACTACTCTGTCCTCCTTCTCCTGGACCTCTCTGCGGCCTTCGACACAGTTGACCACCACCCCCTCCTTCTTAATAAACTACTCTCCCTTGGCATCGGAGATGCTGCTCTCTCTTGGTTCTCATCCTACCTATCCCGACGCTCCTTCAGTGTCACCTACAATGGTGCCACCTCCCCCTCCCTCCCCCTCTCTGTTGGGGTCCCCCAAGGCTCTGTCCTTGGACCCCCCTCTTCTCCATCTACACCTCCTCCCTGGGCAAACTCATACAATCTCACGGCTTCAACTATCACCTCTATGCTGCTGACGACACCCAAATCTACCTCTCCACCCCTCACCTCACCCCCACTATCTCCGCCCGCATCACTCACCTCCTAAATGACATCTCAGACTGGATGTCGCTACATTTCCTCAAGATTAACCTCTCCAAAACCGAGCTTCTCGTCTTTCCCCCTGCCCACCCACCCCCCCCCCCCCCCCATCCTATCCATCATCACCAACAACTCCACTATCACTTCCGCCCCGCAAGCCAAAGTCCTTGGCGTCATTCTTGACGCGAACCTCTCCCTCCAACCGCATGTCAAATCACTCACAAACACATGCAGGCTCCATCTTCGCAACATTGCCAAGATCCGCTCCTTCCTCACCCCAGACACCACCAAACTTCTAGTACACTCCCTCATCATCTCACGCCTGGACTACTGCAACTCCCTCCTCACTGGCCTACCCAAGTGCAGGCTCTCCCCGCTCCAGACCATCCTGAACTCAGCTGCCAGACTCATCCACCTTACCACCCGCTCCACCTCTGCCTCCCCCCTCTGCCTCTCCCTCCACTGGCTCCCGATTGCCCAACGCATCAAATTTAAACTCCTTACCCTGACCTACAAAGCCGTTCACAACACTGCCCCTGACTACCTCACCAATCTGATCACCAGGTACCACCCTACCCGTACCCTTCGCTCCTCTCAGGACCTCCTTCTATCCTGCTCCCTGGTCTCCTCCTCCCATGCACGACTGCAGGACTTCTCCAGGTCCTCCCCCATCCTCTGGAACTCACTGCCCCAATCCATCAGACTGTCGCCTTCTCTATTCACATTCAGGCGCTCCCTCAAAACCCATCTCTTCAGGGAAGCCTACCCCACCCTCACCTAACGGCCATCCTCCCTCATTCCTCCTACCACTTCATCCCCCCCCAGCCACTTCCTACTGTACCTTTACCCCCTCCCTCCTAGATTGTAAGCTCGTAAGAGTAGGGCCCTCTTACCCCTCGTACGCTGTCTGTCTTTGTTGTACTGTGCCATGTATTGTCCCCCCCTATTGTACAGCGCTGAGCAAACCCTTTGGCGCTATATAAACTCGTAGTAATAATAATAATAATAATAATGTAGTGCGTTTTTGCCACGTTTTAAATCTGCCTAGCAAGAAAAAAACGCACGTGCAAAAACGCAACAAAACGCACTGCAGAAACAAATCAAACGCAAACTGCATAGGTGTGAACCGAGCCTAAAGAAGTTATAAAAGAACCTATACACCAGAAGTTCCATCCATGAACAGGACATCCTGTACCTTCCTATATACACTCCATACTGAGCACAATCCCACCATCAGACTGAGGACAGACCACATGCAGTGTCCCCTCTGATAGTCCAGAAAAGGAGGAAGGATGTGACACAAACACAACGGTCCGTTGGCTGGCACCCACTGATCTGCAGCTTAGGCAGTGACTAATCACAGGAGGGCACCCTACCCAGAGGCGACGGATCATGTACTATATGTAATCCGGCACAGGAGAGCCGCTCCTACTACAGGAGGCGCTCGGAAAGCAGATGGTGCCAACAAATTACACTGTTATTTACATATAGTACATTCGTATCAGTCCCCGTCTTCAATGAGTTTACAATCCAAGGTCCCTACTTCTCACACACATACTGGGGCCAATTCAGACACTTTGGAGGGCGGGAGAAAACCAGCATACCCGGAGGAAACCCAAGCAATCATCAGACAGTGTCCAGATGGGGATTTGAACAGAGGACCTCAGAAGTTGCTGTGCTAGGGGAACGTGGAGAATGACAGGTGCTCATATTTGACAGCGGGGGACCAGTGTGGGAGGCTCCAAGTCGGCAGCTTCCTTGACTAACCTAAAACCTCTTATATGCACCCTGATATATCACTCTAAAGCAGGCATGTCCAAAGTCCGGCCCGCGGGCCATTTACAGCCCGGGGGTCGGTTTAATATGGCCCTCCAACAGCCCTCCCTGCTCTCTGTAATGTGGCCCTCCCTTCTATGGCAGACAGTCTTCTGCTTGAGAGCAGTGCGCATGCGTGACTGCGCCGCGCTGGGAGCGACAGAGCGCGGTGACGTCAGGGCCGGGCTTCCAGCGTGAAGTGTGTTTCTCTTCCCCTTCCGGCTGCCGAGCAGAGACTTCAGCTCCAGCTACCTTTTTTCACCCTTCACATAAGTGCAGGTAAGTTTTTTTTTAAATTTATTTTCAATACATTGTGAAAACTCAGCTGTCAGTTGATCTTAATGTTATGAAATGAAAAGTATGTCGTTTGCAATTAACTTGGCCTAAAATAATTTATTTGCATTTAATTGTAATGGTTCAAAAAATGTTCGGCCCTCCACCATGTTCACTTCATCCAATCTGGCCCTCTTTGAAAAAAGTTTGGACACCCTGCTCTAAGGGTTTCCCCTCCATTCATGCTCAGCAATATGCAGGCAACATGGGCTTGGGGCAGTACAGCTAATGGCCCATCCAGCAGCATTTTACTAGTTAGAAGTTTATAGGCTCAAAACAAACGCAGATCCATATTAGTAAAACATACAAATCCAAGTCCATAATCCAGCTGAACATATTTTATGATATTATGTATTCATGATTATATGTTCAGCTGGATTATGAACTTGGATTTGTATGTTTTACTAATATGGATCTGCGTTTGTTTTAGCGCTGCACTTTCTTTTTAAATATCTTGTGAGGTTTTATTCTGTTACCTTTTCATGCCTTTATCTGCTATATTATTATTAGGCGCTCACTGAGTATACTGTTTTATTAGGTTTATAGGCTCGCAAACCTAAAGAAAAAATACTGAGCTGCAACTTGTGACACTGGCGCCTGGAAATCTTCCATTAAAGCTAGTACAGCTGCTCCGACCCCAGGGGCCACGAACTTCCAGCTTCATAGCCATCGTTTGTGCAATATACAAAGTGAAAGTTTAACAGCTTTGTATTGTTTTGAAGCAGCTGGAATTATAGTTTAACTTAAAAGTAGGGATGCATCGAAATTTCGGGGGCCAAAACGTTTTGGCCAAAAGCACCCCTTTCAGCCTAAATGAAAAAAAAGCACCAAAACAGGTGCCAAAAAAACCCCGCCCCCCGCCGGCTGCAGCTCGGTAGTTCCCAGCCTTACTTGAGAAACCATTGATCCTGGCACTGGGCATAGAGATTAATGAAGGAAAGATGGCCGCCACTCATCTCTATGCCCTTGGGAGACCGGAACGATGTCACTTTCCGTTCCGGCCATTTTTTTTTTATTCGATCCAATGCTTTACATTCTTATTGACCCCATATCTCTCCATAAAGAGGACCTGTCACTAATTATTTCTTATTGAGCCCATATCTCTCCATAAAGAGGACCTGTTACTAATTATTTCTTATTGACCCCATATATCTCTCCATAAAGAGGACCTGTTACTAATTATTTCTTATTGACCCCCCATATCTCTCCATAAAGAGGACCTGTTACTAATTATTTCTTATTAACCCCCCATATCTCTCCATAAAGAGGACCTGTTACTAATTATTTCTTATTGACCCCCCATATCTCTCCATAAAGAGGACCTGTCACTAATTATTTCTTATTAACCCCCCATATCTCTCCATAAAGAGGACCTGTTACTAATTATTTCTTATTAACCCCCCATATCTCTCCATAAAGAGGACCTGTTACTAATTATTTCTTATTGACCCCCCATATCTCTCCATAAAGAGGACCTGTCACTAATTATTTCTTATTGACCCCCCATATCTCTCCATAAAGAGGACTTGTTACTAATTATTTCTTATTGACCCCATATCTCTCCATAAAGAGGACCTGTCACTAATTATGTCTCATTGACCCCCCCCCCATATCTCTCCATAAAGAGGACCTGTCACTAATTATTTCTTATTGACCCCATATCTCTCCATAAAGAGGACCTGTTACTAATTATTTCTTATTGAACCCATATATCTCTCCATAAAGAGGACCTGTCATTAATTATTTCTTATTGACCCCATATCTCTCCATAAAGAGGACCTGTCACTAATTATTTCTATCACAGGGGATGCATGCATTCCTTGTGATAAAAATAAAACGATTCCAATTTTTTTTTTTTTTTTTTTTTTAAAAAGGAACTGCAAAAAAAAAAAACAAAAAAAAAAAAAAACATTAAATAGTTTAAAAGTGCCCCCGCCCCTCGTGCTCGCATGTAGTGGTGAATGCATATGTAGGCCATGCCCACATATGTAAATGGTGTTCAAACCACACACATGAGGTATCGCCACAAACGCCGGAGCAATAATTCTCGCACTAGACCTCCTCTGTAACGTTACACTGCTAACCTGTAGAGATTTATAAAGCATCACACGTGGAGATTTTTAAGTACAGTTTCACGCCATTCCACGAGCGTATGCAATTTTAAAGCATGACATGTTGGGTATCCATTTACTCGCCATAACATCCTCTTTCATATTTTACAAAAAAAATTGGGATATATATATATATATATATATATATATATATATATATATATATATATATATATATATATATATATATATACACACACATCTTTTTTTTATTTTTTTTAAATCCATGTATTTTAAAAAAAAAAATATTCATGTTTAAAAACTGTGCATTTCGGTTTCCGGTCAAGTGCAGTTTTAATTTTCGGTTTCGGCACCAGAATTTTCATTTCGATGCACCACTACTTAAAAGCAAAAAAACTCTTGCCTGCATTATTAAAGTGATATTAAAGCTTCCTTTATTATTTAAGGTAAAACAAACAAACATGTCAACCTTACTTACTCTGTGCAATTGTTTTGCACAAAGCAGTCTAGATCCTCCTCTTCTAGGTTCCACCGCAGCCACTCCTGGCTCCTCCCTCCACCCAGTGCCCCCATGGAAAACCGTTTACCATGGGGGCACTCGTGCAAGCTCGCCTGTGAGCCTCTGACACAGACAGGATGGTTTGGCCCCGCCCGTGCCAGTGGGTTTGATTGACAGGAGTCGGAGCCAATAGGTCCCACCGCTATCAATTTTCCCAGTGAAAAGGGACAGAGGCGGTAAAGCCTCAGCTCTCATGCACAGCGCTGAATCGAAATCGGGGCTCAGGTAAGTATAAGTAGGGGTGGGGGGTTGGCGGTAGTCTGACACAAACTTTGAGGCTTTACCATCCCGCCATCTCAGTTACATTTAAAGCTGCACCCCAGCCAGGGAGATCAGATTATAAATGTGCACCTTGTCTAAAACCACAACGTCTTGTATATTTAAAACACCTCCTTCATCCTTGTATTCAGACTGTCGGTGTAAGTTGTCTGCTCGTACCTCGTATGGACAGGCAGTTACTAAATGACTGCAAGACTCATTGAACTACCCAGAATGCTCAGCAGTGCCCTGGTAGTACATTGAGAACTACAAGCAGATAGCTGCAAAGGCTGCTGGTACATTTGGTTCTCCCAGTCACATAACTCTGTGAATGATAGACGCGGCCGGGCAGGAACCCCACATGGCCGTGTTGTTTTTTAAAAATTGTGAAAGTGAGATCAGGGAGAAGAGTCCCGTCTTGCTGTCACTACAGATGGCGGATCGGGGAGAAGCTGCAGCAGTAGGAACAGGTTACATGTTGCAGCCTAAAAAAACCACAGGTGGAACATGTAATATGTGCAACTACAAGTCCCATGATTTAGTGAAAGGCTGACGATTACAAGCATGACTCCCAAAGGCAGAGGCATGATGGGACTTGTAGTTCCACAACACCAGGGCCGCAGGTTGTGCACCCAATGCTTTGAAAGCTTTCCAGAAAGTGAATAGTCTCAGACACAGGATTGCACAGAAGAAACCGAATCACCGCGAAGCAGAACGATGGTCTCGGCTGTATGACTTACAAAGTTAGCAGCATCCATGATGCCATCTTCTACAGGGTGCGTGCAGTCCAAGGTGAACTTCAGGAGCTGCTTCTTCTTCTTGCTGCCCTTCGTCGCTGTCTTTTTCTGAGAAAATTAATATAAAAAAGATTTAGATTAAAAAAACAAAAATAAAAAACACAAGACATCAGAAAGATTGAGCGTGCGGGGGGATCTCTCCTGGATAGATATCCGTACAATAACAGTTTTTCAGCAGCTTAATGGGTCTGTCCTCTACAAGTACACCTCAAAGTCTCCATTAAAGTGTTCCTAAATCCCCGGAGCCCGCATTCACTGTAGCCGCTCTCCCCGGACCCGGCATTCACTGTAGCCGCTCTCCCCGGACCCGGCATTCACTGTAGCCACTCTCCCCGGACCCGGCATTCACTGTAGCCGCTCTCCCCGGACCCGGCATTCACTGTAGCCGCTCTCCCCGGACCCGGCATTCACTGTAGCCGCTCTCCCCGGACCCGGCATTCACTGTAGCCGCTCTCCCCGGACCCGGCATTCACTGTAGCACTGTAGCAGCTCCCCCGGACCCGGCATTCACTGTAGCCGCTCTCCCCGGACCCGGCATTCACTGTAGCCGCTCTCCCCGGGACCCGGCATTCACTGTAGCCGCTCTCTCCCCGGACCCGGCATTCACTGTAGCCGCTCTCTCCCCGGACCCAGGCATTCACTGTAGCCGCTCTCCCCGGACCCGGAACATGGAAATGCAATTATTTTAGTAAATATAAACTGCTAAATATCTTTTTTCCATCAGCAGTATATAGCAATCTTGTGACTTCTATCAGTGTCCAGCCCAGCACTGGCTGAAGCCTGTACGCAGTTTTCTTTCTGCTTTTAGGAGGATGCAGAACCCCTGACCTTTGTCTGGACAGCGCCGATTGGCCCTGTTTTGATCACATGCACTCTCCCAAGAAAAAAAAAAAAACAACCTCTAGCAATACAAACCAAACTAAGCATGTGCAGAGTCTCTTCACACAATATGTCTGATCAGGAGAAAGGAGGGGGGGCACTGGAAGAAGACAGGATCAAACAGCCTTTTTACACAATGCAGAGGATTAACCCCTTAGGTTCCTCAGTGAGTATAACCAGCATGCTTTACTGCATCTACAGACTGATTGTACTGTTGTGGGTTTAGTAACACTTTAAAGCAGAGTTCCATTCAGCAAAAAAACTGTAGCTGCTGACTTTTAAAAAAACAGCCACTCACCTGTCCCTCGATCCCGCGTTGTCCTCCCCACAGCCAGTTTCACCAGCTTTCTGGTGTTCCCAGCACCGCCATCTTCAGTGTGAGCACCTGGCTGTAACAGCGTGCGGCTTCACAACCGGGTGCCCACTGCACAGGTGGGAGTAGCACTGCGTTTTTGGAATGGCCCCGTAGTCTTCTTGGATCTGCCACGGAGGGGGGGTACCTGTCAATTCAGGTACCCACTTCTCAAAGGTGCCAATCCTTACTGGGGACCAGTCTTCAAAGTGGAACTTCCCCTTTTTGGGTGGAGCGCTACTTTAAAGGAGAACAGTGAGCAGCACTGACCTCATTAACTCCCACTTCAGTTGCTGGAGACTAGACGTCAGAGGCAGCAGTGTCTTGGATCTCGTGCTGCAGATATACAGCAATGAGGCCTAGGCACATATACCAGAAGTACACAGGTGGAGAGGAAATCCGGACTACCGTATTTTTCGCCGTATAAGACGCACCTAGGTTTTAGAGGCAGAATACAGGAAAAAAAAAAAAACAATTCTGAACTAATGGACTGCAGACACAATACAGGAGATGACCAGAGACTGCGGACAGCACAGGGATGACCAGAGACTGCGGACAGCACAGGGATGACCAGAGACTGCGGACAGCACAGGGATGACCAGAGACTGCGGACAGCACAGGGATGACCAGAGACTGCGGACAGCACAGGGATGACCAGAGACTGCGGACAGCACAGGGATGACCAGAGACTGCGGACAGCACAGGGATGACTGCTGACAGCCGGGTGCCCAGTGCGCATGAGCGAGAAGCACTTGCGCTTTGTGATTGGTCCGGCGGCTTCTGGGATCTGTCATGTGTCCCAGGTACCGCCTTACCATTCACAAAGCGCACCGCTTCTCGCGCATGCGCACTGGGCACCCAGCTGTCATGCCCAGTGCCCACACTACAGAAGCCGGGAAGACAGCACGCCGCTGGATAGAGGAACAGGTAAGGTCCCGCTGCAGAGCTGAGCGGCCGGCCTGGTATTCTGAAACGGCCGCGGTGGAAATACCGGACCGGCCGCTCTATATTCGCCTTATAAGACGCACTGACATTTCCCCCCCAGTTTTGGGGAAGAAAGTGCGTCTTATACGGCGAAAAAATACGGTAAATGGTTAGAGTTTCAAGGTACTGCTTAGGAAAATGAAACATCTCTATAGTCCCTGTATAACAAAACACATTTGGAGTTCAGATCTACTTTAAGAACTGAACATGGCCACAGACAGCAGCATCGCAGCCTAGAATATCCTGCAGCTAGGAGGAGGAGCGAGGAGAAAACTATTCTTGGCCAAGTGTCAGACACGCTGACTCAGAACAGAATTGGAATTTATCACCAGCACACCCATGAAGAGACGCCGTCACATTGCCCATCCTGACACAAAAATACAGGAGCCTACACAATAGTGATGTCACTCCGTCATGTGACAGTGCTCGGGCCTAGTGACTGACTGCTACCCCTGAGCACTGGATCACGTGCCCACCCTTATCACCCCGACTTATTCCAACTTAAAGCGGAGCTCCACCCTTTTTTTCCATGATCCTTGCCACACAATGCCCACCCAGAACAGTCCAATGAGATTTTTTATTTATTTCTAAATACCTGTATTCTGCACGTTCGGTCCGGCCACCTAGGTCATTTCATCATTAGGCGATTCCCTAGGACTCTTGGGCTACTGGCGTCATCTATCCCAGGAGCCTTTGGGAAGTCTAATGGTGAAATCGCACGGTATTTCTTGCCCGGAAGTGATGGTATTGGAAGGAATGATTGACAGGTTGCCATAACAGGGCGATGGAAACTTCTGCCGTTGCTGCCATGGTTATGGCAACCTACAAACACAGTGCGCCGAGCTGTGTCCTTCCAGCACAGCCGTGAGATCGGGAGGTGCATGCTGGGCAGCCAGCTGCACCGAATCCCAGAAGAAAGTAGGAGCTGGCTTCAGATGGCCACACTAGTAATGGCCGCTGCTTGTCTGCCGGGATCCTGGGTGAAGAATGTCACATTTACAAGTAAGCAAAAGACACACACATAGAACACGGTCCTAATTACACGGCTCAAAAAAAATGAAAGGAAGACTTTGTTTTCTGAGTCGCATCAAGTCAATGAAACTCCTGGCATATGGATCTGGTCAGTTAAGTAGCAGAGGGGGTTGTTCATTTCACTAACACCAAAGGAGCTGAAACTGATTAACAACAGGTGCACTAGATGGATAACAATGAGAAGACCCCCAAAACAGGAATGGTTTTACAGGTGGAGGCCACTGACTTTTTTTTTTCCCTCCTCATCCTGACTGTTTTTCACTAGTTTTGCATTCGGCTCGGGTCGGTGTCACTACTGGTAGCATGAGGCCATACCTGGACCCTACAGAGGTTGCACAGGCAGTCCAATTCCTCCAGGATGGAACATCAATATTTGTCATTGCCAGGTTTGCTGTGTCTTCCAGCACAGTCTCAAGAGCATGGAGGAGATTCCAGGAGACAGGCAGTTCCTCTAGGAGGGCTGGACAGGGCCGTAGAAGGTCCTTAACCCATCAGCAGGAACGGTATCTGCTCCTTTGTGCAAAGAGGACCAGGATGAGCCCTGCCAGAGCCCTACAAAATGGCCTCCAGCAGGCCACTGGTGTGAATGTCTCTGACCAAACAATCAGAAAACAGACTTCATGAGGGTGGCCTGAGGGCCCGACGTCCTCTAGTGGGCCCTGTGCTCACTGCCCGGCACCATAGAGCTGGATTGGCATTGGCCATTAAACCCCAAAATTGGCAGGTCCACCACTGGCGCCCTGTGCTTTTCACAGATGAGCGCAGGTTCACCCTGAGCACATGTGACAGACGTGAAAGGGTCTGGAGAAGCCGTGGAGAACGTTCTGCTGCCTGTAACATGGTTCATCATGACTGTATTGGTGGTGGGTCAGTGATGGTCTGGGGAGGCATATCCATGGAGGGACGCACAGACCTCTACAGGCTAGACAATGGCACCCTGACTGCCATTAGGTATCGCAATGAAATCCTTGGACCCTACGCTGGTGCAGGGGGCCCCGGGTTCCTCCTGGTGCAGGGGCCCCGGGTTCCTCCTGGTGCAGGGGGCCCCGGGTTCCTCCTGGTGCAGGGGGCCCCGGGTTCCTCCTGGTGCAGGGGGCCCCGGGTTCCTCCTGGTGCAGGGGGCCCCGGGTTCCTCCTGGTGCAGGGGGCCCCGGGTTCCTCCTGGTGCAGGGGGCCCCGGGTTCCTCCCGGTGCAGACAATGCCGGCCTCATGTGGGGAGAGTATGCAGGCAGTTCCTGGAGGATGAAGGAATTGATACCATTGAATGGCCCCCATGCTCACCTGACCTAAATCCAATAGAACCCCTCTGGGATGTCATGTTTCGGTCCATCCGACACCACCAGGTTGCACCTCAGTCTGTCCAGGAGCTCAGTGATGTCCTGGTCCAGATCTGGGAGGAAATCCCCCAGGACACCATCCGTGGTCTCATTAGGACCCTCCCCCGACGTTGTCAGGCATGCATACAAGCATGTGGGGGCCACACAGACTACTGAGGACCATTCTGAGTTGCTGCAATGACATTTCACCAACATGGACTCACCTGCTGCACCATTTTCTCACTTTGATTTTCGGGGTGTCTTTGAATTCAGTCCTCTGTAGGTCGATCATTTTCATTTCCATCAAACGATGGGGCATCCTTACATTCCTCACCCATCCCCCGTCCATGTCAGTATAGAGATCCAGCAGGAGATTCCTCCCCATTGAGATCTGATGGGTATTCAAAGTCTTCCTTTCATTTTTCTGAGCCGTGTATATAGTGCAATGGAGAATCACGGTGTGTGCTTTTTGTATAAAAAAAAA